CTTGGGCTCTAAAAGGGGTCCAAAATTTAAATCGATCATTATCAATTTGATAAATAAAATTTTATAAATATGTTGATAGGTGTAACATTACTAGAAAATGATTTAAAAAAAAACCCTCCCTCTCCCAATCTTTCATGCAGAGATGATAGCCTCATGATTGTCTAATACACATATTCCCCTCTTGCTAGAATGTATTCAATGCGACGATGGTATCACATAGTCATTAGCATAGCCATGCAAATGCTATCACATCCAAGTTAATTATTTTGATCTTCATTTTAATGTGAATTCGATGCCAAATTTCATAAATTGTACCTAACACGCAAAAAATACAATTTGCATTACACCTATTGGAAAATACTCACAACAATAAATAAATAAATAAAATAGAATAAAGCACTCAAATAAAATACAATACCAATAGTTATGTGATTCGGTAAAATTTCTATTAACGATCACGAGGCATGAATCGATCACCTTTTCCACTGGTGAAAAAAAATTTAAGTACAATGGTACAAGCCTATCACTCAAATTTTATACCCCAAACTCGATCCTTGTACACCCACTCAACTAACCTTCTCAAACCGTACAAAAAATAAATATTTTTTTCTTTTCAAAAATCTTTCTAAATGAATAGTGAGACTGGATCCTAAGAATTAGAATTCCACAACCTATTTATAGGAGAAGGCTATTATCATGACAATCCAAGGCAAAATGACAAAACCTGAAATCTACAGAGATTTCATTTTCTCCCTTCACATTTGCAAAATTCAAGATCTGGATAAGGTGCCTTCTTCACATGTTTTCCATTTGGGTATTATGTTTTTACTTCGACACCACAGTTGGCACTCACCTACTTTGAATTGTAGCGATCAACGTCCTTATCCAAAAAATTTATATCTTGACGAGAAGTCAATGACCTCCACCTAAAACATCAGGTCCGCATCTTGATGCAGATGTCTATCCCCATACCTTAGAATGTACCATCAATCTGACAATACGAGATATTGATCAAATCTAAGCAATGCTTGAACTTTTGTTTAGTAACTGACTTTGTCATCATATCAACTACATTTTTCTTTGTATGAACTTTTATCAAATTCACATTGCCTTCTTCCAACCACTTTTTGATAGTGTGATACTTCATGTCGATATGTTTTGTCTTGGCATGATAAACTTAATGTTTTTCCAAATGAATAGCACTTTTGCTATCACAAATACAACCCAAGTTTTCCTGCTTCAATCCTAGTTTCTTATCTAAACATATCAACCACAAAGCCTCCTTGGTAGCTTCCATGATTTTCATATATTCCGTTTAAGCTAGTTTGTATCTACATAGCCCATAACATGTCCTGTTCTATCTTGTTTTTGATACAAGGTACTGAAATTCACTATACCTCTCAAGTACTTGAATGCCCATTTAGTTGCATTCCAATGTCCCTTGCTTGAATTATTCATGTACTTACTGACAATATTGACTTCTTGTGAGATGTCTAGCCTATTGAAAACCATGGCATACATTAGAATTTCCAGTGCACACACAAGACATTTCCTCCACTTCATCATTTGTAGACGGACATGATCTTGCAAATATTTTAAAGTGGTTAACTAGAGGAGTATTAACAGGCTTAGATTTACCCCATGCTAAACCTCTCTAGTACCTTCTCCACATATTTCTTTTGTAATACCCATAGTTTGCATTTTCCCCTGTCCCTCCAGATTTCTAATCTAAGGATCTTTTTAGCAACGCCCAGATCTTGCATATCAAATTCCTCCCATAATCTGAACTTTGCGAATTTAGAATATTAGTTAAAGTAATTAATATGTCATCAGCGCAAAGCATCATAATAACAAAAGAACCATCACAAAACAATTTAGAATAAACACAACTATCATAATTATTCCTCATGTAGTCAATATATACCATAAATGAATCAAACCTCCTATATCATTGTCAAGGAGATTGTTTTAGCCCATAAATAGATCTTTTTGAGCATCAATACCAGATGCTCTTTACCTAGCTCCCTTGAATCTTTCTAGCTGTTCAATGAATTTTTGCTCCTCTAATTTCCCATGAAGAAATGTTGTCTTGACATTAAGCTGCTACAATTTAAGGTCAAGGATCACTACCATGGCTGACATAACACGAATAGAAGAATTCTTAATAATAGAAGAAAAAAATTAATTATAATCAATTCCTTCCACTTGCCTATAACCCTTGACGACAAGTTGTGCCTTAATTTTTTCTCCTTCGTTTTTCGATATAGGTTCCTTTTTTTGATATACCCATTTGCAATCAATCACCTTTCTCCCCTTGGGTTTTTCATCCGACTCCCAAGTGTTGTTCTTGTGTAGAGATTTCATCTCATCCGTCATTGCTAGCATCCATTTTTTCACTTTCTTCAATTTTGAGACTACCTTTTAAAAACAAGATGAATCTCCATTAACAAAAATTAGTGTGAAAGAAACCATGTCTTCAAAATCATAGCTGACTGGTTGCCTTATGTGTCCTTTTTTCCCTTCCAGCTGCAAAAGTAATGAGTTCCTGCTGCTTGTCATCACTACCACATGTATCGTCCTGAGAAGATGTTGGTGCGTCATCATTTCCACTAGGCCCCATTGTTTCATCTGGCTCTACATCAATTGAGATTTTTTTTGCATGAGCATCCACCTATTTATTGGTTTCTACCATGTTTAAAATTAGCATAGGTTTTTTTATTGAAAATGACACCCCTGCTAATTAACACATTTCGTGCAACTAGATCCCAAAGTTTATACCCCTTCACGCATTTTTCATAACCAACAAATTTGCACTGTTTGGGCTTTGGGTCCGACTTGGATCGCTACTACTCATGCAGGTGAACATAGGTTAAACAACCAAATCTTCTAATATTAGAATAATTAACTAGTTTATCTGTCCAAACCTCCTTAGGGACTTTAGCATTAATAGTCGAAAACAGTGACCTATTAACAATATAGCATGTCATGTTAACAACTTCAGCCCAAAATGATTTTAGCAAGTCTGCATGGACTCTCATACATCTTACTCTCTCCAAAAGGTTTTTATTCATTATTTTTGCTACACCATTTTTTTGGCCTACCTAGTGTAGTATAATGCCTAGAGATCTCATTCGTCTTGCAATAACTTTTGAATTCCCAGTGTGTATATTACATTATGTTGTTCGTTCGTATGTACTTGACTTGTCTTCCCATCTTCTTTTCAACCTTTGCTTTCACTACTTGAATTTTTTGAACACTTTATTTTTATGCTTCATGAAATAGACCCAAACCTTCCTAGCGAAGTCATCAATAAATGTCACAAAATATATTGCTCCACCTTTGGATGGAACTATCATGGGACCCCACAAGTCAGTGTATCTGTATTCTAACACATTCTTGCTTGTATGTTAACCCATTTTGAAGCTAACCCTACAATGTTTTCTATATTAGCAATACTTGCAAAAATTAAGTTTATAAGTTTTTACCCATCAAGGAGACTGGGTCTTTGAAGTTCCTACAAACCTTTCTCTCACTCATATGGCCAAAGCATAAATGACATAGAAAAGTGTCATCGGTACCTAGATCTAATGGAATGGTTACAACTGCTCCACCTATAATAGTACTTCCTACTAGTGGAAAAATATTAGGTGCACCATGTTAGTAGTGCCACGTGGTATCACCATATTAGTAGTGTCATGTGGTATAACGGTCTACTAATAGGTAAATAAATCAGCAAATGGGTCCTACTAAAACTCATAACCACCCAGCCATATCATACATAACCATCTCTATAATAGGAAGTGGACCATATTTTACCCTTTTTGTTCTTTTCTTATTGGATGGTCACACCCAATATTTACTCCTATTAGTGTCCACAAATTTCCTTGTCGGGTTTTCACCTTAATAACAACTATGGTCCATTTGAAAACTTTTAGGACCCCATATGTTGTGGTGAAGGGGAAATCCATTTGAATTAAGTGAATCCAAAAAAAAAAAATTCTTTTTAAGATTAGGGACGTGTCGTACATCAACCAATGTTCTCACCGTACCATCAAATATTTTAATTTTAATGGTCCCAACTCTAACAGTCTTACAAACAATAATATTACCCATTAGAACTATTCCTTTAATATAGGGTTTATAAGTGTCAAACCATTCTCTATAAAGACATTCTTGTTAATCTTATATGTGATTGAATCACTTCTTCTTAAAATGTAATAGTAGACTTCCCAAGCATAAAAAAATTATTGTAGTGTAGTAACTTGGATAAATCTAAGGTTGTTTCCTTAGGAGACGAACGAAATTCAATTGGTGGTGTGCATGAGCAAACATAGAATTCTTGTGAATTGTTAAAATGTGATAAAACAAAATTTGTATGGATTGTAATCAATAGAAAAACAATTAGCTAACCCTCAGGAATAAACCCACCATAACCAAACATTTTGACTCTTTAATTTTTCACATCCGAAGTTGTATTCAAACACTCTCAAACAGATGATATTCAACAAAACCAAATCATACATTATTTTAGCTTTGACGATAAGAAATATACTAGCAAGGCAAGCATTTAAATTGTATAAATGAGGTCTAAGCATTATTCGTGCAGGATTAATTGTCGACGAAAAATCAAAGTCATCACTAAATGATTTAAGATTTAAAATGATGAAATTGTGCATGTTGGTGATATTTACATGTGGAAACTACTTTAAAAGGAAAAAAAATTAGAAAAAAAAAAGGAGACAAAATGCCTATCTTTGAAGAAAAAAAATTTGTTGAAAAAAAAAAAAGAGATTTGAGCAAATATATGCATTGTGCTTCTAGGAGTGAAGGGGTGAATGGTTATGAGTTATATGGAAACGGTTGTATAACGTAATGCTTTATCTTGGGATAGCTCTTTGAATCCTTGTATATCCTTCATTTCATTAAACTAAATTCCAAGGCCCCATTACAAACTAGTAAAGTCCTATTTGATCCCAAGAGTATATTAGTGATGCATGACTGTGATCATATCAGCACTAATGCACCGGATCCCATCAGAACTTTGCCGTTAAACGTGCTTGAACGAGAGTAGTACTAGGATAAGTGATCCTCTAGGAAGTCCTCGTGTTGCACCCCTTTAAAAAAAATTAGTGATGCATGACTTGTGTGAGTAATGATAGAGATGGGAGTTGTTGCATATTGATGGTTGGTTTCCTTTCATGGGACCATGCTAAAGTCATTTCTTTCAGTTACCATTTCTTGTATCTAACATGTAGGCATCACTTTGTTTTAAATTAAATATCTTCTACTCACATGTGAATTATGAGTGATGAACTACTATAATCTGAGAGATTCTTTTAGAGAAGTATACTTTGTGAGGATTGGCATTAAAGCGAATGGATTGAAGTTGTATGGGTGAGCACTTGGTGGATTGTTGATTTGGTACATTTATTTTACACTGCACACGAATTTTCATGGTAACTTAATCGGTGTATACTTTCATATAGCGACGTATTCCATATCTTGATTTACAAATGCTTATTGATTGCATAGGACTCTAAGTTCTTGGATTGTGATGTTCATTTGTATTATGAAATTATTATTTTGATATTCATTGACATTCAATGTTTATGGGTAGCATCACTGTAAACCTTCACGAGATTAAACTTGTTCACTAAGTATTACTTATGGGTTTAAAGACTTGTTGGATGAGCTAAATGCAATCGTGAGTCCTACAAAAGTGGATGTACATATAGGTTTAGTTTATTTTCTTACTTTGTTTCTTCTTATGGACTAGTAAGAGTCAGGTTAGGGGGTGTGATTAGCCCTAAATATTGCATATTTATCCTATCATTTATGGGCTAATTGTCATAGGTTTGGACTTAATTGTATGAAATTATTGTTATATTTGATTTTATTATGTTTTAAGTGGTGTTTGTATATTTTGTGGGTGAAATACCAAGATTAGGAGGCAAATAGGCAAACAGGAGAGTGGACTACACAAAGGAAAAGAGAAAATTGGAGATTGAAGTTCAAAAGGCCACGTCCGGTTGTCATTTATCCATGTCCGGATGTGAGGTGTTGCATTAGAGGCAGAAACAGGCTAAGCTCCTAGATGGCCACGTCCAGACGTCACTTATTCCACATCTGGACGCGTGTTGAATCATCTATCACTTCCAAATGTCATAAGGCTACGTCCGGATGCGTGTTTTTGCTCCCAACCAACCAGAAAAGTCCGATGATGCAAGATTGACTTCATCTTCCTCTTTTTGGAAAAGTACTCTAGCCTTTTCTAGGGAATTTTAAAAGCTTTTACTGGATCTAGAAAATTTTCCATTAATTTTCTTCCTTAATTTTGTGATTAGCACATCTTCCATGGCTAATTAACTAATCTCTTATACTAAGACTAGAGGAGGTTTCATTTGATTTGGGTATGTAAATTAATCCTATGTTATTCATTTGATCATTACTTTAATAATTCAATCCCTCTTATTTTAGTAAAGCTTTCTCTCTATATAATCTCTTGAATTATTATGATAATTGTGATGGATGCTTGAGATTTTCTATGAGTTGAATAGCTAGATGTACATGCTTGGGTTGAATTATTAGAGTTTTCATGTAATTAATTGATTTGTTGATTTTTATGAATTTGAATGTTTGATTGGTTAATTGCTTGATTTATCATTGACTTTGGGCATGTTAAATACTTGTAATTAACAATTGAATGTTTGGATTCATTTAGATTAACTCATTGATTATATTCTAGAGAATTTCCTAATTAATTATTGTCAAGTCCTTGAATTGGGTTCACTGCCTGGTTCTTTGCCAATTGAGATTGAAAATTAGGATTAATTTGCTACCCAAGTGTTATCGAAATAATACCCCAATGTCTTAGTATTTTTACTGAATTATTTTTCTTAAGCAATTGTAGTTTTTTTTTTTTTAGAGTTCAATTATCAAATCACTCTCTCTCAAACACACAACATAATTTTTTTATTAATCATTTTTCATCCTCCGAAATTCCCATCTCCCTATGGATTGACTTTGAACTCTACTAAGAATTACTACTTGCTTGAGAACCTACACGTGAGTTTACAACTTCCAAGATGAAGCAGTGTGATGTGGCCTTCTAGAAGAGGTGACTTATTGCCCAAGGTGGGGTTTGATGGCGAAAGTCCTTTTTTACCCTTTCTAGTGGTTTCCTTGTTGTTTGTCGTCTCTCTAGAATCTCATTGTTGACCTTGACAACCATTGATTAGGGTTGACTTGACTTGATGTGAGCTAACCTGACTTGGCTTGAGCTGGTTTGGCTGACCTGATTTGAGCTTTCTTGGTTTGACCTGATCAGCTTAGCATATGCTAACTTGACCTTTCTTGACTTGCTCAACTTATACTCTCCTGGCCTAACTTGTCCAAGCTATATATTTTTTTGGTATCATCAATTGTCATACTCTAAATGGTTTATTCCTCTACATTAGAGAGAATGACTACCACTTGTGGACAGTACTTTCCTCCATAGTAAGAGAGGAAAGCCTTTAAATTTGAAAAAATCCAATATAAAAGAAAAACAATGGGTGAGAAAGAGGACAAATAAATAAATGCAAATGTTACACAACCTAAATATAACTCAAAAAGTTATAACACAAGTGCATATCATCCCTTGGATGAGTGAGTCCCACTAAAAAAGTTGATAAAACACTAATTCAAGAGATGATATACATTTAAGTTAAAAATTTTTGGGTTGTGTAGCATTATCATTCGAGAAATTAATTCTAAACAACAACATTAAGAGAATAAAATATAAGAGAAGTGATAATCCAAAAAAAAAAAATCTTATTATCTTGATCTATTAGGAATATTGTGAATATTCATATAATCGATATGCATCATAATACTAATCTATTTCTATTAAAAATGGAGACTATGGGGTTTGGTTTCCACCCATAAAATATCATATTATTGTTCATTTTTTTAAATAAACATTCATAATTCAATCTTTAGTCTTATTTAATTGTTCTCTGATGTAACATTATTATTGGCCTTCATTTCTTTGTAGATATCCATACAGGGAGATCCGTGTAATATCCCCTTGTTTGATATTTCTATTGAGCCAAGTTATGAATGATTTATCTCTCATGAAAATTTGTTGTTCTAAAATCTATTGTTATCAATGAAAAAAACCTAATCGATAGACAGTTCTTAGACGATTATTTGTGATGTGTTCAAATGTCTTATTTCAAAATTTATTTAGATTATTTTTAAAGAACAAACACATAGTACAAGGAACTAATAAAAGATAATTCCTTTATTAATTCAATCGAAGGGACTTCATTTTCAGAAAAGACTAGATTAATAGTCTTGATTGTAGTAGTAATTGTCTTCTAAAACTAATTTAACGCTACCTCTAAAAATGCCTAGGTTGTGGGTATTATGGGGGTTTGAATGTATGTTTCATCTTCTTCAGTACATGCCCTATTATAGGCATTGTTCTCGACGATTTTTCTTTCATTGACAATTAATGAATAACAACCTCTAGTTAGTTATTTCTCTTTTCAAACATGGTTGTGACTGATCATCTCCCATTTTTCTTCAAATGTCTCCAATGATACTAGATATTGTTCATCTAGCAAGACTCCCATTGACAGGTATGGAGGTGAACGTTTGTGTGTCTATTGATACTGGTCATGACTTTGTCAATATACCTTCCAGTGTAGGGTATAGTGAAATCATCAACTGCTTCTTTGCCTCTCAATCTCCTGCCCTTTCATTTGTGGAACATGTTTTATTCCTTTTTCATTGGCTCAATCAATTCGTTTTGTGTGTTCCAGGTTTTAAAGTAACAAAGGAATGCATGGGAGTAGCCATCCAATTGGCTAAAAGAAATAAGCTTGACCCCTTTTGTTTTAGGGACATTATACAAGGGCCTTTTTAATTTGATAGAAAATAGGATCACACTCATATGTGGGGGGGGGGGCTTCTGGCTCTTTCAGGCTTGGCTCTATGCCTATTTCCCTTAAGTTTGGCCTCTGGAGTCTTTTTCTAGGCCCAAGTTTGAAATTCTGCACTGTGTTCATCGATTCTTGTCTTCCCTATTCTTATACACAGAAAAAATTTTCAATTCTTATCTCAAAGCTTGTTTCACTTTCAACAAAGATAGACCAACTCTTTATATACTCCTTTCTCTGAGTTCCTCTATTTTTCTACCCTTCTTGAATCTTTCTTTGTTGATCCAGACACTGCCTCTGAAGAGGCTAACGAATTGCAACGCATCTTCTGGGGTGGTGCCTTGTTGCCTTGTTATCTACATGCTCTGTATCAACCTTTAAATTTTCTAACTATATTTTTGAGAGCTACAATCCTAGTCAATTTGGCCTGACTCAAAACATTTTTTCCCTTACATGCATCCCTCTATTGATGAGCATGCAAGTGAGAGGATAACAATAAGATTAGATGTTCTAGTTCACTAGATCTCTCAGGCTTATGAGAAATAATTAGAATCTTATAGAGTTTCTCATTTTGTCACCTGTCCATGTCAATCTTCATTTCATTCAGAGTGGTGACAGAATATTTCAGTCTTAATTTTCATCGATTCTAGAGACGAATAAATATATAGGATGTGTTTTGACAATTGGCAGACAAATGAAAATTCTACTAGTCAAAAAAGGAAAACAATTGAGGCTCCTACTTCTGCCCTTTCTCCTTATGTAAATCCAAATAAGGATAAGGTTATCCTGATTGAGGAGCCAAAGAAAAAAAAGGCAAAGAGGTTTTTCTCCGAAATTGCTACCATTTGCTATCGATGCTCAGACATTGTTGTTCACCCCTCAAAGAGGGTTAAGTATTCTCAAACAGCTACTGATGTGCCTATGATGCCTATCATCAATGAGCAGGATACTGAAAAAAATCCTTTTCTCCATAGGAGGACAAGTACTCCCTCTTTTTTAGATACATCAAAAGAGACAACCTCTAGGAAGGATCTTCCATTTCCATTGTCAGCTGATCCTTCTGTGAAGGAAGACCAAGAAGCAATTCTTTCCCTATACAACAGTGAGGACATGTTGATTAACAACTTATCCCTATAGCCATGCAAACTGGCAAAAGGTTCAAAGTGACTGCTAAGGTAAGGACCACATCTT